GTATGGTGGTTTGACCTGGGCTGGATGATGCCAGGTGCGCACCAAACATGCTCTATCAGTCTTCCTCCTCAGCTGGACATGGGAGAAAAAAAATACAGCAAAAGGGCTTGTGGGTCTGGATAAGGACCGGAAGAGCTCCTTCAGTTAATGTCATGGGCAAAACAGACTCAACCTGGTGAAATTAGTTTAATTTGTTACCAATCAAATCAGACTAGGGTAATGAGAAATAAAACCAAGTCTTAAATACACTTTTCCCCCACCCCTCCTTTCTTCCCAGGCTCAATTTCACTCACAAATTTGCTACCTCTCTCCCTCTCAGTGAGGCAGGGGAACAGGGAATGGGGGTTAAGGTCAGTTCATCCCACACTGTTTCTGTTACTCCTTCTTCCTCAGGGGAGGACGTCTCACACTCCTCTTGCTCCAGGCTGGGTTCCCTCCCACAGGAGACAATTCTCCACCGACTTCTCCAATGTCAGTCCTTCCCATGGGCTGCAGTTCTTCATGAGCTGTTCCAGCGTGGGTCCCTTCCATGTGTGCAGCCCTTCAGGAACAAGCTGTTCCAGTGTGGGTTCCCCACAAGGTCTCAAGGCCTGCAGCAAACTTGCTCCAGCGTCGGCCCCTCTCTTCATGGGGCCACAAGTCCTGCCAGGAGCCTGGCCCAGCGCAGGCTTCCCACAGGGTCACAACCTCCTTCGGGCATCCCCCTGCTCCGGTGTGGCATCCTGCATGGGCTGCAGGTGGAGATCTGCTGCACCATGGACCTCCATGGGCTGCAGGGGTACAGCCTGCCTCATATGGCCTGCACCACAGGCAACATGGGAATCTCTGCTCCGGTACCTGGAGCATCTCCTCCCATCCTTTCTGCACTGACCTGGGTGTCTGCAGAGCTGCTTCTCTCACATACTCTCACTCCTTTCTCCAGCTGCATGTGACAGGGTTTTTTTTCCCTGCTTAAATATACTATCGCAGAGGCACTACCACCGTTGCTGGTAGGCTTGGCCTTTGCCATTGGTGGATCTGTCTTGGAGCTGCCTGGCATTGGCTCTATTGGACACTGGGAAAACTTCAATAACCTTCTACCAGCTTCACAGAAGCTGCCCCTGTTGCCGCACCCTGCTACCAGGACATTGCTGTGCAAACCCAATGCAAGGTTATTTAGAAATGTATCATTATTTGAAAAACAAAGCAAACCAAAAAAAGTCTTATATAATAGCAGTATTTTGACTGCATTAAGAAAAAGGAGCGAGAGTGGACTGCCTGGGTCTTTAAAGTACATATAAACTGCCAGTGAATGCTTTGGTTATGCACAAAGACAAGTGTTCAGTATGTTTTGCACATGGGCACTGCTTTTGAATTTATAAGGACAACTCAAAACACATGAAGTTATTCTGATATCTAATTGTCATGTTGTCAGGTGGACTCTAGCATTATACAGATCAATTAATAATGGTGAAACAGCTTAAACAACATGAAGAAGGGGGAGGGAATAATAACTCACGCTAATACAACTCAACTCACTGTATTGTTTCATGATATGTTTAGTGTTACATGCAGAATAGTAATTTCCAGGTTTAAAGTGGTCCCTTAAAACAACAAAATAGAGCTTGTTGATTTTTTATTTTTTTGTATAAAACTCAGGACTCCTCTACTTATATGGCAAAACTTGATTTAAGAGTCTGTTTCATTAATGAAACAAGATAGCATCAGAACCAACTTAAACATACCAAAAGGTGTTACGTATAAATGTCTTAGTAAACTTTCTGCTACTGGCCTAAAGAGTAGTATAACATTTAGAAAGAAGGCAAAGTCTACCAATTCATATACTCTTTTAAAGTCTACCTTTATCTTGTATTTTATCTTATATTTTGAAAAAGAAATGTATAATTAATTAGTTTTTAATTAAAATGAGAAATCATTATCTCACTAACATTTCAATGTTTTATGTTAACAAAGAGCTTGTAGCTAGAAATGATTAAAAACTAATGGATTTGTATGACCACTAATAAAAGACTTTGGAGTGATAAGAAATACCCACCAGTTGTCAGATTATTGCTAAGGGACACAAAATAGCTTTCATTAGAAAGACATCTTAGGGGTGCAAAAAAAAGGATAATCTCTTTTGAAGCTCTGGTAAACCATAATGCCATCCAGCAAGGAGCAACCTCCAGGTAAAATTTTAATGCTTTGAAACTATTACTATAATACAGCTCTAGAACAAAGCTGTGGTGCTCAGAAGCCGATATACATACTGTAGGTATCTTAGGGATTTATTTTTACTCATATCATTACTCATCATATGAACTAAACATCCATTTGCAGTTGGAGAGCAACATCTAGTTTAGTTTCATATGAAAGCAATCCAGTTGCCTTGAGATTATTTCAATGTGCAAAATGAGGAAGAAGGGATAGCTGGGACACTCATTCCAGATCCAGACTAAGTGCGTAATGTCAACATGGACAACATGGTGATTCTGAGCAGCGCTGCCATTCTGGTGTGAAGCCTTTGATCAGTTTTGCTTGATGAATACTCTTGATTTGATTTGCAGAGATCTCTTGGCTCCTGCCAGCTGGATTCCTTTTGGAGTAAACTAAACTGTCACCAGATGTGCTCTAAGTGTGCTGCACATGCCTAAAGGAGACATGAGGGTGTGAGTGCCAGGTCCTAGACTTTGGTCACAGCAACCCCATGCAATGCTACAGGCTGGGGAAGAATGTCTGGAAAGCTGCTCGGCAGAAAGGGATGATCTGGGGGTGCTGGTTGATGGAGCTGAACATGAGCCAGCTTGTGCCCAGACAGCCAAGGAGGCCAACAGCATCCTGGCCTGTATCAGAAATGGTGTGGCCAGCAGGGCTGAGGCAGTGATCATCCCCCTGTACTCAGCACTGGTGAGGCTGCACATGAAATCCTGTATTCAGTTTTGGGCCCCTCACGACAAGAGAGACATTGAGGTGCTGGAGTGGGTCCAGAGAAGGGCATCAAAGCTGGTGAAGTGTCTGGAGCACAAGCCTGATGAGGAATGGCTAAGGGAACTGGAATTTAGTTTGGAGAAGAGAAGGCTCAGGGAGGACATTATTGTTGTCTAAAACTGCTGAAGGGAGGTTGTACTGAGGTGGGAGTCAGTCTCTTGTCCAAAGTAACAAGCTATAGGACAAGAGGTAATGGTCTCAAGCTGCACCAGGAGAGGTTTAGGTTGGATATTTGGAAAAATTTCTTCATAGAGAGGGTGATCAGGCATTGTAACAGGCTGCCCAGGGAAGTGGTGGAATCACCGTCCCTGGAAGTGTTCACAAACCATGTAGATGAGGACCTCAGTGACATGGTTTAGTGGTGGTCTTGGCAGTCCTGGGATAATGGTTGGACTTGATGATCTTAAAAGTCTTTTCCAGGATTTTTGAAGATTTTTTTATGGCATCGTAGAGGAATGCCACAGGAAGAAAGAGATATGTCTCCAAAGACAAGAGCTAGGAGGTTGAGTGTGTGAAACAGCCCATTGTTCTGTGAGGTTACAATGGGGATTCAGTGGGAGACATTTAGGTACCAGTGCATTCAAATCCACCTGCTCCAAGACTGAGTTTTAGGAGAAGCATTAGGCTGACATTTCCTGGAGTCCAATTAGAGTCGCCGAGTTCCCTCTACTTATGCTTTCTTTATAACCCTTTCTATTGCTCCCACTGAGTTCTGGGATCTGGCAGTGCAGAGCAGCTTCATTCTCCTTTATTTAAGCTAGGGTAGCTCAATTTGTTTTTTTAGCTAGTCTCTGAACAAAATTTTCTGCTTTGATAATCTTTCACATCTTCTCTGCCCAGATCATAGATATTTTATTATCAGTGGATAAAGGAGAACAGCTGCACAGCTGGATATTTGGAAGATGGAGAAACATGGGAGATACAGAGTTTTGACTTTGAAATGCAAAGGACAGAAGGAGAAACCATTGTCTGTCTGTGTCTGCCTTGTCTTAACTTCTAAACAGACCAAGAATTCAAAGTGCACCCTTTAGAGCTAGGTAGGAAGTTATTTAAAATACTTCCTATAAGCAACTTACAGCTTGGTACGGTAAAACCTTTGGAATAGTTTTCTCTGGATTATGCTTGTACATTTCTTTGGTGCATTAAGCATCACAAGGAAAGGTTATTATACCAGGCGAAACCCTTCTGTTGATAATGTGTGGTGTTTTCTATTTATAAATGGGGAACAAAGCCTTTTGAATGCTGAAGACCATCAAAGGACTCACAATAAATAACCAAAAAATGGAGCTGAGATGCTCCAGTTTCCAGGCCAGTATTTCAACTATAACATATTAATAGGCTTATGCTGGTGTGTCACCCATCTCTTTTTAAATAACAGTAGCATATGTATGTAGAAATATTAAGTGCTTTTGCCATAGGAACTGAAAAGTATTCTCTAAAATATCAGGGCTTTCAGCTTTTGAAAGCACCATGTGCGTCATTTGCAGATGAGACCCTTCATTTTCTGAGGTGTGCTGGGCATATATGACCAAAACTGTAGTGCTCCTTTTTAGAGGCTTAAGGTGGGTTGGCTCTTACTTTCTCAATGACCTATATCTTTTGCCATAAGCAATGAAACCTTAGTGAGAGTATTCCTGTTTTTTCTGAATATTTCATATAAAGATTCAGATTACATTCTGAGCCTTGCCATTACTGCTAAAAGTATTTTGGTTTAAGAAATTTTTAGGCTTGAAGAAAAAAAACAAAACCAAAACCCAAGAGGTGAGATAAGAACAATATTTTTATAATTTATAAAAAGTCATATAATATTAAAGATAATAAAAACAACAACAATAATATAAATAAATAAATGTATGTAATTCTGGGAAAGAAGAGCAACAGAAATAAAACCCAAGAAACCCACCCAAGAAATCCAAGTGATGCACAATACAGTGGCTCACAACCTGATGACCATTGCCCAACCTGTCACAGCTCCTTCCAGCCAACCCCATCCAGTTTATATACTGGGTATGACATGCTGTCATATGGAATACCCCTTTGTCTAGTTTGGGTCAGGTGTCCTGTCTCTGCTCCCTCCCAGCTTCTTGTGCCCCTCCTCACTGGCAGAGCATGAGAGACTGAAAAGTCCTTGATCAGAGTAAGTGCTACTTAGCAACAGCTAAACATCGATGTGTTATCAGCATTGTTCTCAGATTAGAGCCAAAACACAGCACTGCACCAGCTGCTAGGAAGAAAAATAACTATCCCAGCCGAAATATATAGTAAGACGCAATGTGGAAACTAGTGCCTGAAGCCAGTCTCTGAATATACTTCATAGCAACTACCTTCACACACTTGTCCTCTTCTTTTTGGCAAATATAGTGAAATTTCTTCTAAAATACCTCTAACTGAAAAAAAAGAGAAACCTACAAAATCATGCTGTATTAAATTCATTGCCATTTTTTTTTTTTGTGGATTTGAGTATTGTAAGCATGCATCTTGGACAGCATTAAAAAATAAAGGGTATATTAATCCTGTCCCTCCATTCAATGTGTTAGTGCAACTTGGGGCTTTGATATGTGCTAAAAATATTACAGCAGTTCAGAATTACAGCTACGTAATAACCAAATAGTGACAGGTGGATCACATTAGCGGGTTCACCAGCTACAGCAGATGTTCTCTGTCGACTTACCACTCATTGGAATAATTTATATCCACATAGGTTTGGAGCTTTCAAACTGATCATACAGTAGGTAAATCCTATTCTATTACAATTATAGTATCACCAGATATTACAGTGACTAATAATTATACAGTGTTGTCCAGTATTTTCTCTAAGTTTGAGAAGAAATTTCCTTAGTGAATAGGATTCTTTTACTTATATTTTTAATTAGATGTTGAAAAGCTTTTCCTTGGTGGTAAAAATTATTTTAAAATTATTAGAATAAAATAAATAAAATTGGGTTTCTTTTATACTTGATCTCCAGGTAAGGATATGCTTCTGTTATTTTACCCAGGAATTTGATCCTGCTTGTACCGAATTAGTCGAATGGCTACCCCTGCAAAAGAAAACCTTTTCCTTTGATAAAAACAAATAAACATGTTTCCCTTCTATTTTGTATGGCTTAAGAATTACAGCATGCTTAGAGAACAACAGCTGCAGGAAGCAGGCAGACCTACTTTGGCCTATGGTCGAGACATCAGAAAGCAGTGGGAATCAAAAAGAGAGGTTTCCAGATCAGAGACTTTTGTGATGTATCATGGCAGATGCCTGCAGAGTTTCCCCTGTCCTGCAGATGGCTGAGCCAGCTGTATTCACCAGCAGCAGCCAGGTCCCAGCTCTCATCTCTTCACTGCTGCGGAGGACTATGCTCCTCTGGCAGTCCTGCTAGCTGTGTATAATGGCATCTGTTTTTTTTTTGCTGGAACCCTTATTCTTGCACCCTGGTCTCATGGAAAGTTGCACCAATAACTATCTTATAAACCTGCTTTCTGGACTGTTATCAGAAAATAAAAGGAATTTACAATCCAAAGTTATTGATGGCAGTAGTCTTTTTCTAAAAACACTCATCTTGCTGCATACATGGTGCTTGTTTATTTGCGTAAGGTCAGCTCATGTGATGCAGGGCCTCTGTTTTAGTTCATGTTTTTGAAACAAAAAATTACTATTCCTTTTTTTTTTTTAAATTGGAAAAACAGTGATAATTTTCACTGATACAAAAGTGCTTAAGAGGCATTTCATATTTCTGTATGTGAGTGAAATAAAACTGGAAATTTTATTAATCCAGAGTACATGATATTATAACCTTACATAGGCTGGCATGTAGAGCACTTAGAGCATTATAAGAAAACAGCAGATGTTGAATTATCATAGACCCAGAGAGATTATGAGTTACACGTCCCTAGGAAGTTTATACAGATAAATCCACAGGGCTCCATAATAAATTGATTCCATTTAACACTTTAAAAATGTTCAATAATATGTTGTTTAGTTCTTACAGCAACTGACATTGAAGATAGAACATTAAAAGTAATATCAGCAGTTTCTGTAATTACAAAGATTATTGTTAAGGGAAAAAAAAAAACACAACAAAAACCCTCTGTCTTTGCATAACTCTGGCAAGAGCAAGCAGATAGAAAAAATCAGGTGGTCTCCATCATCCATTTTGAGTTTTGCAGGCTTGTGCTTCTAAGAGCATTCCAGCTGCAACCTTTAGAAGGGCAGAGCTGTCAGATGTCAGCAGAGATCACTGAAAGCCACTGCCAAAGTGTACATCCCAGCCACCTGAAGACAGTAGGTCTATGGCATTGTGTTACCTTCTATGAGCTGAGACTAGATTTTATATACCAAAAGAAAATGTGCAGACATTATACTAGACAAAGTCAATAGCAGTAAATTCCATGCTCTGAGTAATCTTAAGTTATCCAAGAGACTAATTTTCTTTCCCAGTTTTTCAGGGTATGTCTTGTCTTTAGACTGGATATTAGGAAAAATTTCTTCACTGAAAGGCTAGTCAGGCATTGGAAAAAGGTTTCCAGGGAAGTGGTGAAATTACATCTCTAGAAGTGTTCAAAAACTGTGTCGATGAGGACCTAGTTGACATGATTTATTGATGGACTTGGCAGTCCTAAGGTAACAGTTGGGCTTGATCTTAAAGGCCTTTTTTAACCCAGTTGATTCTATGATTCTACTACGTACATGTTTTCTTTTCACATGCCTGCAGAGCCTAGCTATGGTACATCTACCAAATATTAGATCTTGGCTCAAGAAAACGCACACAGAAATCATCACCAGACTTCTATAAAAATAATACAGCTTCTTCAAAACCAGTACATTTGGAAGCACAAGAATATGACAGCTGGATTTTTGCGTGTGCAAAAACAGGAAGAGATAGGAGAGGGTTTAGTGTTTAATTCCACTGAGCTAATTGAAATACAAAGGAGAATAACTGGGATGAGAAAAACTTTATTTGATAAAAAAGAAAAAAAATCTTTCCAGAATTTACTTATGTAGGGTAATGGTACAAAATGCTAAATCATGTTTTATACACACTGGCCTGATATTTCTGCCTTAGTTCACAAGACTGTTTTGTAACAGGTAAGTCGTCACAGTGCAATACAACGTGTTTCTGGTATTTTGCAAGCACCTGTGTACCATCTTATGTAATTTGTAAAGCATGTTTGTTGCTTATACCTTTTGGATAACATTAAAAAAGAAAAAGTTTTCTGTTCAATTTGGAGTGCCATGTTTGCTTGGTACAGCCTGAGCTGGGAAAAAAGCTATCACAAGCTGAAAGGCAAACAAACAAACAAAACACTGTCTCCCAGCCTATCTGTTAACTTCTAGACTAAATGTGAGTAAACTGACTACTGCTCCCATCCACACTTACCCAAAATATAGCTCAGTAGTGTAGCACTTATTCTGCATTATTTTTCCCCAATGTCTGTGTTCACTTTATCCTAGCCTGCAGTTATTCCTTTCCTAAATTGGCCAAGGTAGGCCAGCCTACTTGACATCCACTTCATCCTCAGATACTGAAACATGTGAAGAGCATTTCTGTTCAAAGAGCTCAGCATACAGTGGATTAAAAGACGTCCCTCCCAGGTGCATGACCTTCAGCAGAGCAGTGGCTGCCAGCAGAACTCAGTATGTAGCAGCTCATTTACCAAGGGCTGGGGTATAACTCCTATACATGCATTGGCAGAATGATGTGAGAAGCTCACCTCAGGAGCTGGAAGGCTTGTGAAAGATGATGAGAAAGGAAAGAAAATGGCCAGCACCTGTGAGACAGCAGTTATAGTATGTGAAAACTGGCAGGGAACTACTCTGAAGCAGAAGTCTAAAATTTTAATCAAATCAGAGCTTTACTAGGTAAAATTTGTGAATGTCAGGTGTCCTAGTACGGAGGGAGACAAGCACTGTTTTATGTAATATGATGTCCACAATTATTTTTCAAAGGCTAGGTTCCTATCTCTTGTTCTTTTAATATAAATTTATGTTAAATGCAAATGTTTTATGTAGTATGTCCACAATTATCTTTCAAAAGCTAGGTTACTTTCTCTTGTTCTTTTAATATAAATTTATGTTAAATGTAAATACATATGTATATTAATTATTATTTTTCCTTCTGAAAATGTCCAAAACATTATAGGCATTTCAAGCTTAATGTGTTCACTGTACTACAAATTGAATCTTTGTACAGCTATAATTATTACAAGCTGGGTGTTTTTCCTCCTCCCAATTTATCTAGAAGCATAAACAAAATGACAGCCTGGTTTTATAAAGACATGGGATGCCACGTAGTTTAATTACATCTCTGCATACTTCCTTGTTTCTTGCAGTTGTGTAACACACAGGATCTATCAGTGAACACATAATTCCTGTGTACTTACTTGACCTTCTTCATTACCCACCATTTTGGAGAAATATTGTGAGACTAAGGATGTTTTGATATTAAGATGAAGAGTTGTACCTAAATCTTGAAGAGTCCATCCTAAATCTTTAAAGAGTTTGTGAAGTGGGAGGGAAAGACATACAAAAGAGTAGGATTTGCACAAGCTTGTGCTTCTAAGAGCTGTATGTTGCTGATCAGCACATATATTCAAGGTGCTAAGACAAGATTTTGCTCATATAAAACTAATTTTGTGGAAGCAGGCTCAGATCCTCCATTTGCACTGGTTTTCTATTGGCAAACTGATTTTTTTCTGTTCTCTGTTACATATTAGAGGGCATATAGTTGTTCTTTAGAGACAACTGAAGAAGTAGTCCTCTCAAATTTTTCTGCCAATTTATATGTGAATCACACAGGTAATCTACAAACCAAATTAAACGGAGGAGGAAATGAGACTATTTCTTCCACATTTGGAAGAAGATAAAGAGAATTTCAGCAATATTCTGTTTTGAAAAGATTCTTAATCTAGGGTTACTATAATTAGAGGCTATTGCATAGTAAAGCACTGTACGCTGCTGATCTGAGAAAGTTAGGGAGACCTTGCCATTATTTAGATAAATATGTTGAATAGATTAACGAGGTCAATTCCCTGACTGGCAGCTATAGTGAGATTACTGGCAATGGTAATACCCCAGGCTGGGAGCTGCTGCTACACATGATATGGCTTTTCCGTTTTCAAGCATGGG